GGGGGGGGGGGGGGGCTTCCGTTGCGGTCTTTTCGTTTACCTAAAAGGTCCTGTTCTACCCGTCATGGCGGTTATATCGGACGATACCTCATTGAGTGTTGAGTTACGAGAGACCGTGAGTATGATGGGTTCCTGTTCAGTGGGCTTTGGGTACTTGAATATCAGTTTGATGTAATCCTCAGGCATTCCATCGGTGAGAAAATTTTGTTGGCACATTTTATGGCAGGCGACCAGTATGCTCCGAGGAACTACCGAGGCGAGCCCTCACAAAATACGCACATTGAGCTGGGTGATGGGACAATAGATTCGGCAGAGATGGCTGATAAATTTTACCACGCACGCACTGCCGCAACTAACGAGACGCGGAAACCGGGATCCGCCGATCATCGCCAACGCGATCAAAGTCCAAAAGACTTGCCGCAGAACCTACGACCGCTCCACTCCATCGACGAGTACGCCGAGGCTAAGACTATCAACGGGCGACATACACTCCCCGTTCACGCAGCACGCAACCCGAATCAAATAGCCAAATAATCTTTTGCGCACACACAATCAGCTGCCACGCTCTCATTGAGCTGCCGCCACACACATCCCTTAAGCAACGGGGGGGGGAGCTACTGAAGCTAACTAGTGCATCTAATCCACCCTCAATCGAGCTCTCATCGTTTGCCGCTGTTCGAGTCGAGTCGTGCCGAGCCGAAGCCAAAGCCCGAGCCCAAACCCGTACCGAAGACTTACAGCAGCGCCCGAAGACTTACAGCAGCGCCCGAAGACTTACAGCAGCGCCTTTTTGATCGAAAAGACATGGCGGACGTACCACATCTGGCTAAAGACGAAGCCGGCGACGCCCAGCGCCTGAATGAGGCGCCACGTCTTCATGCGTCCGTGGGACTGTTTCAGTGCCTCTCTGTGTGCGCGCGTCCTCTGCACGGCGAACTGTTGTTGGTTGTAGACCTCTTTGGTAACCACGGACAACTCCCGAACGGAATGCAACAACGCTTCAGTATGACCTAATCGGGAGAGGTAGAGCAAGGATAGAGAGTTGCCACGGAAGGCTGGGCAAGGACGGAGAGCCGGAAAAGGACGGAGAGCCGGAAAAGGACGGGGGGTAGGGTAAGGGCGGAGAACTCGTAAGGAGGGGTCGAGGAAGGGGGGCTGGTCGAGGAAGGGGGGGCTTTACTGGTCGTTGCTAGTCCATAGGCATATTCGTACGGGTCAGACATAACACTCAGCAGAAGTTCCACGGGACCAGCTTTGGGAGGGCAGTGGAAACAGACGTGGAAGTGAGTGTCTTCGTCTTGAGCCGTGATGTACTGCGTAAGGTTGAGCGTCCCCAAGCGGCTTGGCTTGAGAGGAGGCAACTCCTGGTCTCTGCAATCGGGTAGACATCACCCAAGTCCCTGAGCGGCTCTTACTTTGGCGATGCCTGTAGTCCTTTCTGCTTCTTATACGTCACTCCGATGACGCTGTCAGCATTTGGTAGAGCTTCGTAGTTGATGACCACATGGCTGTGGGGGTTGGCGTGAAGTACGATACACTCTAAAGGAAGAAATAGATCTGGTCACGCCGACTCACCAGGTGCCGCAGGTTGGACGACAGTCTTAAGGGCCAAGGCTGTACAGATCCAGAAAGGGTATTTCATTCCCAAAAATAAAAGGTGTCCAAACTGGTATATCTAGAACTAACACAACAACAGGCTTCGCCATCAACGCGGGCCAGGATCCAAGCTGGGTTGTTTGGGGTCAGGTTTGATTTGTTTGCGGAAAAATCGAGATGGAGGGACGCATCACAGACTGCATTTTGGCGGACATCGGGACACTGCTTGCAGACCAAGGCGTAACGGACTGTACGCGGGAAGCATTGATAGTACTGGCGGAGACGGCACGAAGTAGCTTACACACACGTGTTCGCATGCGCACATGGGGTTCGCACACACGCCGCAACCGGAGATGCAACTAATCCGGACACCCTCGTAACTAATCCTTGTGTGTTCAGAGGAGGGGCTCAAAGTCATTTTCAGAGCGCACACGTCGGCCCTCTACGCGGGCAAGAACGCCGTCAACACCCGGGACGCCAGTCGCGCTTTTGTGGAAGTGCTGGAGTCATTCGCACCCCCAAACTCGCTCTCCTTCCAGGTAGGCTGACACAGTGAAGAGAGGGGGTGGCACACAAGGTGACATCTCTTTCCCAGCAATGTGAACAAGCGATGTCTCGCGACGTGAACTCGTTTGGCTTGGGGTCTTTCCCAAAATCATTCGAAGGTCTCCCACTCCCTGCAAATGATCATTGAACTAAGTTGGGCTGAGTCTGGTTGGTACTGAGGTGACGAACAACACATAGAAAAAAGAAAAGAGCTGCCGCTGGTCTCGGAGGGTGTTGGCCATGCTCTTCGGTGTTCACCTTACGGTGGAGGCAAAAACTGTAAGGTCGTTTTCTCAAAAACTGTGGGTTTGCAACATCCGAGCTGTTACTCGTTTTTTCAACGGCAGATGCCACTGTTTGACTGGTCCAGGCGGTTCCACCATCGACCATTCCGCTGCAGGCGGGTGTTGTGGGCCAGAAGGTTGTCGGTGGGTAGAATGTCGGTGAGGAGATGGTTGATGTTTCCTCTTCTTCCCCAGGAGAGATTTAGTCCAGGTCTCGAAGGACGAAAGTTGGTCTCGGTAGGGTACCTTGCTGCGTATGAGCATGCAGACGAAGAAGTGGTGGTTGGTCAATTGAGTGAGTGACTTGGATTTTGTTTTGGCCCTGAAGATGTCCATGAGTCGTGTAAAGAGGGCATCCCCGAGGAAATTTTGTACGAAGTCTGCTACGTAGCTGTACTTTTCAAGGCGTGCAGGATCCTCTATCCAGTCGTCGTATTGTGTGTCCTCAAGACCAACGGCGGGCTCGGGCAGACCTAACCTGAGCCAGCGTCCTACGCGGGAGGCCACATGGATTAGCTGTATGGAAGTCTTGGACGCCGGTAGTTGAGAGAACTCGGAAGGGAAGTTTTCGCAGTAGACCGTCTGGGTCGAGTCCCACAATTCATTCAGGACTTTTTCACGCAGCAGGGAGGTCAAACTCCTGCGGATGATGGTGCCGGAGAAATAAGACTGCATTATACAAGCAACATACCAAAGACGTGACACGCTGGGTGGCCGCCGGACCATCTTCTCTCCCAACGCCACTATCTCGGGTAGTCCGGGCAACCCCTCCTTGGCCAGCCCGGGCAACTTCTCCTGCAGCCAGTCTGCAAGCCGAAGCCAGCGCCATCCACACGTCCGGAAGACCGGCACAACCACTGACACCTCGCCTGAATGCCACCGTTGCAGCGCCAAAACCAGTGACCTGCTCACTCGGCGAGCAACGGCTTCTTTCTCCGCCTCCGTAGGTGCTTCTCGCTCCCGCTCCGACTCGCCACAAATTTTTAACACGTACCCAAGGAACCTCGCCATATCCTCATCCACCGGCGAACCACTGGACCTTGAGAGTCCACCATCACGGTCTGCTCCGCCTGCTGCGTCTGCTGCGTCTGCTAACTCATCAGGACCATGCTCTGCCGACATATCAACGTCTGCCGACATATCAACGTCTGCCGACTTACCAACGTCAGCCGACATATCAACGCCCGCCGGCTTATCAACGCCCGCCGGCTTATCAACGCCCGCCGGCTTATCATCGTCTGCTAATCCATCACGGCCTGACCTACCAGGGTCTGCCAACGGCCCACCGCCTGCTGAGGAGTTTATTGACTTGCAATTCCGTGACGGGGGAAGCCGGACATACTGCAGCAAGCACCGAAGGTATAAAGTGTTGGAAATCACGAGGCTCGGGGGGGGGACGATCCAGTTTCTCCTGCAGTGATCAATTCGGCGGTTAAATAACTCGGGTCCCAAAGATTGGTAAAGCCGTGAGACTATGTTTTTGTAACGTCTGTGATCCCGCGGCGACCATGTGCCTTCTTTGATGCGAAAATTATCGAGGGCGTTACGCAGATAACATTCCAGCTTGGAACTCGCACAGACCAGGTCTATGGACCCGGGTTGCTCCGGCAAGCTGTCCACACCATCGGGGAAGGCCACCAAATGCAGCAACTGAGAACACAGCCATCCGCCCTGGCTCGCGGGGTAGGGCCCTGCTCGGTACCGCTGTGGCAGCATATGGCGCAGCCAGTTGCCGGGTAAACGTCGGTAGAAAAGGCATGCAAGAAACCACGAACTACTTATACCCGGAGGCTTCCTGAAAATGGTCTCGGCGGTCTCAATTAACTGGTTAAACTTGAGCTTAGACAACCTATGGCGCACCAGGGTTACTAATTTCAACCATTGCCAGGTACAACTACCGCATGCAACCTCCATAGGTACTTGCGCGCTTTCGCCTGCCATTCTCTGAGCAGCACCCGCTGCCATGCTCTCAACTGCCTCTACAGCGCATTTTACAAGGCCTTTCTCTTCCTCTTCGTTTAGTAATGACTCGGCCTTCTCCTTCTCCAGGCACTCCTTAAGCACCTGGACGGAAAAAGCAGGACAGTTCTCCAGAATACCACTCTGACAAGACACACTACTGTGGCCGTCACCCAGCAGGTCGATGGGTCGGCCACCTACACGCCGGCCTGGCTCTACTAATCCACTAGTGACCGATGCCTCCCGAGACGGTGCCCTGGCATCAATAGCAGAAGGCGCGAGCAGCACAGCTGCACGAATCTGCAGCGGCAACCGGCTTCTCACGCCAGAGCAGCACTTCATATAATTATTATTCGATAGCCCGGCCATACAGGGCGTACAAGCCCTGCGAGTTTGAAAACATCTTGCAAAAGGACTGACGTCAGATTATGTATGCTCTCTCCAAGCACTCATCCACCAGTGAGGGAAGCACGTGATTAGACCTAAGTCATGTTTGCCGGTATCCAAATGCAGTCTTAATGTGGTCGCGCTTGGTGTATATACCAAGTCGCACTTGGTATTTAATGGTTGGTCTTTTGATGTGGTTTATATACCAAGTTGGTGCATTATATTATCTCGTGCTGTTTGACCCTTTGTTGAAGTAGTTATTATCCGCTGCTGTGCGGTAGTTAAGTTAAGTTTATAGTATTGTAAGGTTTGAGCAGCTCTGGTAGTGTCTGGTCGGGTACGCACGCAATCCTGCATTGATGGCCCCCACATGGACACTTTCCTCTTGACCTCTCAGCGGGCACTTATCATGCCGACTGTGGGCCTCTCGTCCGCCTCACTCCACCAGCGCAATGAGGCCCTGCGTGGATATTACCGCCACTCACCTCACGAACGAAATTTTGAACATCGAAATATTGCAGGGCTCATTAATGCCCATATAGAACTGTCCTAGAAACTTTTTCTACCTCATGGCTCGGGAAGGTACACGCCGAACTGCCCGTCGTATCCCTTGATGGTGAGTGAGATAACCGTTTGGTACATGACTGGTATGTGGGATCGATGCTGCTCAGCACCTTGGGCGTGGTCTTTCTGCAGGTTGTAGTTGCTTGTCACGACATTCGTCTTCTTACATGTTCTTCTTCAGGGCCAGCTCGCGCGTGTGCTCGCCGAAGACGTGGCAGAGCTCCTAGTCCACACACATCGTAATATCGTGCCGACACCGGGATAGTTCAAATAGCTCGCACTAACCTTGAAAGTAAGCTTTAATGAGGAAACTTTTTTTGCTGAAACGCAAGTCCAGGAAGCTAGATCCTTTTGGACGATGTTCCTCCAGGTGTTTTGGACGGTGTCAATGTTGCGTAGTTGCCTCCTTAGAGGTATCTTGACCTCCTACCTTAGACGTACCTTGTGGGTGGCAAAAAAATGCACGGCAAAACTATGTGGTGGTTTGTATTGGAGCGTTGGGGTGCTGCACTTCACTGCACAATTTTTTCGGCGGTTGTTCGTCCTCACATGAGTCCTTTTTTTCTGTTGTCTCATAATTAGATTTTCTGGGATCCCGAGTCACGTCAAATTGCCAAGATTTACAGAACCTATGGCAGGTGATCCGACGGACTCCTGCGTATCTGAGCACGATTTCCATGATGGATTTGTGTGATAGTTTGTACGGTAGTTTGTACATTCTTTGCGGGGCCTCAGTGGGTGCAATGGCGGCGATTTTGGGTTTGACCAAATTGATCATTTCGTTGAACCAATGGTCTCCTAGTACTGTGTGGAACACATCCACCACGTCGCTATTTGTGGTAGGCGACCATGTTCTACTAGACAATCGGAAGTGGCGGATCCCGGACGCAATCCAATGAGTGGCTCTGGAACCGAAGGCGATGAAACGGATGGATGTCTCAGACATCGGTAGCTCGCCAAACGTTTGGGGGAAGTGATCGCGGTAAATCTTGGTATCGAAAGCCCACCACGGGGGAGGTGCTCCCAGCCAACAGCTCATCCCGGAACCAATGTCCGTTCCCTTCACACATGACTGCATCCGACACGCCAAGTACCACAAAGGCGACACGTGTTTCGGCCGAGGCACTAACTTCTCACTGTCCGCAATTAATTTGTGAACCTCATCCGTCTTCAAATTCTCATCCATCAATCCCACGACACACAACCATCGCCACCCACACGAGTTGAAAGGGTTCGGTCTCCGATTGCGACCAGTCCGCTCATCCGACTTTCTTTTTAAGGACAACACAGCCCGATATTGCTGCAGACCTAATTTCGCTATGCACAGCTTCTCCGTTCCCGTGAACACTATTCCCCCGCTTCTCTCTCTCTTCACACAGTCTTCAAGCAAACGGGTCATAAAGCTGGTCATCTCAACAGCAACGGACCTATTGGCATCAACGGACCTATCGGCATCAACGAACCTATCGGCATCAACGGACATATCGGCATCAACGGACATATCGGCATCAACGGACATATCGGCATCAACGGACATATCGGCATCAACGGACATATCGGCATCAACGGACATATCGGCATCAAACGATTTACCGGCGTCAGCCAAGGACGAAGAAGGCCGAAGATCGCGGGCGGCTTCCGGGCCACGGCTTTGCTTACGACGGTATCCGACAGGCTTCCTGTGCTTTCGCGGAATGATCTCAACGTACCTGAGTAAGCAAGCAAGGTACTGTAGATTCGACAAGTGAGACCGAGGTGGTACTAGAACCCGCATTGCATTCATGACTTCGTCAAATGTACTCTTCCCCAAAGCTTCTCGGACAACGAAAAGCTCCTTCGGCCATTTCGCCACCAACCATGTTTCCTCCTTAAAACGAATATGTCGTCTGGCCTCCGTCAACCACCAGCCCAGTTTTGAACCTGCGCAAACTCGCTTTACAGATTCATCAGTCTCAGGTAACCGATCAATATCATCTGGGAAGGACACGCGAAAAACAATTTTCTGACAACTCCAGCCACTCTGCGACGAAGGAGTGCGCAACCAGCGACTTAAAGATCCTGATGCAAGGAATTTCTGTGCGAGTCCCGCAATATACCAGACATCAGACAGACCACTAATCGGTCTCGGCACAAAATGCTCGAACCTTTCAGCCCATTCGGTTAAGTCATTTTTGTCTTGTAACTCACACATTAACAATGCCAGTTTGAGCCATCGCCACGAACAGAAATCGAAATCAGAAATCGGCATGTCAATCGTGCTGTTACTGTCGCTCAGCGCGGTCTCGAGTGCGTTCTCCAAAGCGGTTGTAGCCATCCTCACCACCCTCTGTCCCTGGAACGTAGTGAGCACTGGTTTGAGATGTTTCTCTTTGTCTAGACAATCACGCAACACTCGATCCACTATGTCCGGCCCAGTCCATGGTACCACCACAGATGCAGGGCGACCTCCAACCGAATAGGGGCCTACCGAATAGGGGCCCACGAAAGATCCAGGCAGCGGTTCCGTTACCTCAGCTTCCCCTTGATACCGGACCTGCGGGGTCTCTTCTTCGGCCACCACATTGGGTCGCGGTAAGCTCGAACCCATCACGAGAGCACAACACCCCGGAGTAGTCCATCCCGGACCTCCGTCATCGTTAAGCGTGGGCCCTCCTAGCGGTGGGGACACCCCGAGTATAACAACGGCCACCCATCGAGTTTCCTGGTCGCAAGTCCTCTTGCCACCACCACATATCCTCATCCCAAAAATTGAGTTTTAATAGTTGATTGAGAAGCGAACTGGCGAATAACGAGACATCCATCTCCCAGACGACCGTTGCCTTTCAGACTCATAAACGCTCCAGCTGCGATTCAACGGTCGTCTGAGAAATGGGTGATATAACTCGGGCGAAGGCAGTCTTCTGTTCTACTCCTCCTAATTGGTTAGGGGAAGTAGAATTCGTACATTAGCCACTCTCCGGTTTTTTTTGGCAACCATCTGGGACATTGACTGTCATGACTGTTACAGTGCGGTAAGCCCCCGCATCAGATACGGGTGGGCGCAGAAGTCCAGCTCGACAACCGGACCACCATTGACGCGTGCTTGCGAGTCACACTTGCTGTGTTCGCCGACGCCTTTGACTGGCAGTGGATTCTCGAGAGCGGTCACGAATCACTGGACGTTCAAACGCAGTCCAGGCTCTTGAGCTTCGGGGAAGATGTTAATTTCTGCTCCCAGAATTCCGTGAACGGTAGTACTTGGCAGTAGCGGAACTCCTTCTACAAATTTACGAGCGTTCGCAGCAGCAGCAGCTCTTTTTATTGTAGATTGAATTATGCTCCTGCCTTTTCGGATGAGAGACGGAAGGACTGACAGATGAAGATACCTAAGGACTGACACATGAAGATACCTAAGGACTGACACATGAAGATACCTAAGGACTGACAGATGAAGACACCCAAAGTTAAACCCCCAATTGAAAAGGTAAAAACCAAGTGCCAGGGCCCGTCGACCGAGTTTCTGCATGGCTCGGTTATAAGCTAATTTATGGAGTACAGCAGCGCTCTTTTTTCGTTGGTGGTTCGTCCTCAGATGAGTTCGTTACCTCATAAGGGGGTCTCTTGGGATCCAAGCTAACATCAAATCCCCAAGCTCTGCAGAATCCAGAACTAGTCCTTCGCTGCAGCGGGGTGTACTTGAGAACGGTTTCCATGAGAGATTTGTTTGTTTGCTGCCGCACTTGTTCTGGGTCTTGAGAAATTTCAACGACTTTCGGTTTGATTAAATTGATAATTTCGTTGAATTTTGTGTTTCCAAACACCGTGTGAAATACATCCACAATATCTGCATTTTTGCTAGGCAACCATGTTTTGCGAGTAACGCGGAAGTTGATGATTCCCGATGCAAGCCAATGTGCAGCCCTGGAACTGAAGACAATTAAGCGTGCGGATGTTTCAGACATCGGTAACTCGCCAAACTCGTGGGGGAAGTGATCAGGGTAAATTGCACAGCTGAATGCCCACCATGACGGGGCTGCTTGCTGCCAAGGTATTCTGATCCGAGCCTGCTGCATCTGACAAGCCAAGTACCACAACGGCGACACATGTTTCGGCCTCGGCACAATCTTTTCGCTGTCGGCAATTAACTCGTGCAGCCGCTCCCGGTCCAAATAATCATTCATCAATCCTGCCACGCACAACCACCGCCACCCGCACGCGTTGAAACGGGTTTTTCTTCGACGGCGACCATTCTCCAACATCTTTGTGAAGGACAACGCAATCTCAAATCCCTCGGCAGAAGACTTCGCAATATGCACCTTCTCCGCTTCCGGGAGAACTACTCCCTCGCTTCTCTCCCTCTCCGCACACTCTTCGAGCACGCCGGCCACAAAGGTCGCCATGTGCCCCGCAACCGACCTTTCGGCATCAGGCCGTCTATCGGCGTCAACTAATGACGGTGGAGAACAAGATGCCGTAGCGGTGGAACAGGACGTGACGGCTTCTGGCAGAATAGTTTTGGGCGAAAGGGACATGGACGAGGACGATCGAGGGGTAGCTTTAGGACAACGGATGATCTTAATCTGCTTCCGTGGACTTGTCCTAACGTATTTGAGTAAGCACGCAAGATACTGTTGATTTGACAAACAGGCTGAAGGTGGGATTACACGCTTCATAGCCTCCATGGTGTCGTTAAATATCCGCTTGCCCAAACTACGTTGAATACCGAACAGTGTTGTCGGCCATTTAGACACCTTCCATGTTTTCTCATCAACACGAATATTTCGTTGTGCCTGATGTAACCACCACCCCAACTTAGAACTGGCACAAACGCGGTTTACACATTCCTCACTCTCAGGCAAACGAACAACTCCATCTGGGAAGGAGATTCGAAAAATCATCTTCCGGCAACTCCAACCACCCTGGGGATACGTCGTGTGAATCAGCCAGCCAGCCAAGCACCACGTGGCCAGGAATTTCTGCAGAACACCTGCCAGAAACCAGGTATCAGACAAACCAGTCGGTCTCGAAACGTAGTCCTCTAACTCAACAATCAATTTGCTGAATCCACCGTCCTCCTTGTCTTGATACTCACGCATTAACAACGCTAATTTTAGCCATCTCCATGAACAGCATTCGAAATCGGAAATCGACAGGTTGGGAAACGACAGGTCGGGAAACGACAGGTCGGAAATGGCCGTTTTTTTCCGGCTGCTCAGCTCTTCCAGGATAGCGACGTGAGCCAACCTCACAAGGGCCTCTTCCTCATGTGGACGGAGAGAGCGCTTGCAGTTCTTCTCCATCTCCAAGCACTCATCTAATATCCTAGACACTAAGTTAACCCCAGTCCAGACTTCCGCCGAAGGTACAGATGGCTCCTCCAATACTTCGCGCACAAGATGAGGCCAGGCCTCCTTTAAAGGCCCCGTCAGTTGTTCCTGCAGGGTTTCCTTCAGGAGCTCCGGCCCAGCTCCAGGTTCAGACCCGGGCCCCCCCCTCCTAGGCCCCAACAACGAGGCTTCCACCAAAAGTTCTCCCGAGCCTGCCCCCAACGGCGGGGGCCATGGTTCCCTCAAAAGCGCCAGCAACGGTTCCTTCGAAGTTTCCGGCAATAATCTCCTCGAGTCCTCTGCAACACAAGTTCCCCTGAAAGGCCCGGTATGTTCCCTCGAGTATTCCACCGATGGTCCCAACGGGGTTTCCGTCTCAGTCGACATTCTTCCCATATCGTGCACCCCAAAGACAGCCATGGTTATGCACCGGGTCTTCTGGCCGCCATAACACATCATTCCAGTCCAAAAATTAACAAGTCAGTGTTCGACCGGGAAGGGCACACACGCACACACGTTTCTATTCGCCTTGAACGATCCTTTTTTATAGCACGGGGCTGATACACTCCGCTCTGGCAACCGAAGGTGGAAGACATTTCTAGTCAAGTGGTCTACCTTTTTTTGGAGATAATAATTCGTCATCCGATGACGAGTTCGTTCCCGTGATCGCATTGGAGAATGCGCGGTTGACGTTTCGACCTATGTGCGCGTACCTGAGGACGGCTTCCATGATGGCCTTATCTGGTAACTTGTTCATTTGTTCTGGGCCCTCCTCAGGCGTAAGTTTACAAATTTTCAGTTTGATTATATTGACCATTTCGTTGAACCAGTGATCTCCCATGACCTTGTGAATGATATCCACGATGCCGCCATTTGCGCCAGATGACCATGTCTTGCAGGTCAGGTGAAATCTGCGGATTCCGGATGCAATCCAGTGTGCAGTCTTGGAGCTGAAGGCAATTAGGCTGGCAGACTTCTCAGACATCGGCAGCTCTCCAAATGTCTGGGGGAAGTGATCCTGGTAAATTGTCATGTTGACTGCCCACCATGCCGGACGTGCTTTCAGCCAACGTTTTCTCAGACAGGCCTGCATCCGACAGGCCAAGTACCATAACGGCGACACGTGTTCCGGTCTCGGCACTAACTTTTCACTCTGGACAATTAATTGACGAACCTCATCCGGCTTCAAGTTGTCATTCATCAGTCCCACTAGACACAACCATCGCCACCCACACGAGTTGAAAGGGTTAGGTGTCCGACTCTGACGATTTTTTTGCACCGACTTTTTCGTGGGCGATAAGGCAGCCTGAAATTTCTGCAAGCCGAGTCTTGCGATACTTCCCCTCTGCTCCAGCGTCAGACTTGCTCCCTCGCTCTCAGTTCTCTCCCGCTCCGCGCAATCTTCAAGCATGTGTGCCATAAAGCCTGTCATCTCCGCAGTAACCGACCTCTTGGTATCAACCGAGTCATCGGCATAAACCACAGACGGTGACGAACAAGACGGGCTTGGAATAGAATTGGAGTTGCATGGAATGGAGGATCGAGGATTTCCTGTGGCTGTAGAGCTACAGATAGGACCACGGGCGGCGTTAGGACAACCACGCGCGGCGTTTGGACGACCACGGGTGGCGTTTGGACGACCACGGGCTTTCCTGGAAGTACGACTCTGAATAACGTTCGTCTTGAACTGTTTCGGTGGAAGTGTCTCAGCAAATTTGAGTAAGCAAGCCAGGTAGTCTGTATTCGACAATTCTCTGTGGCTCGGTATTACATCCCTCATTGCCTTTATGGCTTCGTCAAAAGCCCGCTTGCCCAGAGCACGTTGAACAACGGAGATGGGATATGGCCGTTCCGATGCCTTCCATGTTTCTTCGTCAATGATAATATTTCTATGAGCTTGACGGAACCACCAGTCTAGCTTTGAGCAGGCGCAAACGCGTTTTATGGAGTCCTCATTCTCCGGTAAACGAACAATATCACCTGGAAAGGACACCCGAAAAATCATCTTCCTGCAACCCCAGCCGCTCTGCGAAGCCACCGCAGGAAGCATCCAGTTAGACAAATTATACGACGAAAGGAATCTCTGCACGACACCAGCCAGAAACCAGGTGTCAGATAAACCGACCGGTCTAGGTACCAAGTCTTCTAACTCTGTAATCAAGTATGCGAAAGCACCAATTTCCTTTTGCCGCTCTCGCATTAACAATGCAAGTTTTAGCCATCGCCATGAGCAAGCCTCGAAATCAGCAATCGACAAATCGGTGATCGACAAATCGGTGATCGGTCGGTCGGTCCCACTCTCTCGTCTGGTCAGCTCTCTCAGGTTTCGCAGGACAGCAGCTTCAGCTAACCTCATAAGCCTGATCTCCTCAGATGAGCTGAGTATGGGCGTGAGGCCATTCTCCATCTCCAAGCACTCGTCTAGCATCCGAGCCCCTAGATTAAGACTCATCCAGGGCCTAATTTCGTCCAGGGCTTTCACCAAGAAAGGATCCGATGAAGTCTCAGCCACGGGGTGCTGAGGCAGCATCTCCGTTACCACAGAGTCCTCTTGGTACCCCATCTTTGTTTCGGCCACCAGATTGACAGGCTCTGCCCCGGGTCGCACGGAAAGGTTTGACCAGCTTTCCCTCAAAACCTCCGTCAGCGATTCATCCGAGGCACCCATCAATGGTTCTAACGAGGTCTCCTCCATCACAGGATTTGGGCCGGCTTCCACCAAACGTTCCCTGGAGACCATCCAAGGGTCGCTCAAACCTTCCATCATTGTCTCCGGTGATGCTCTCAGCCACGGTTGCCACAAAGCCTCTTTCCACGGTTGCCTCACTGCTTCATTCACAAGGTCAGGGCAAGCTTCGCTCAATGGTCCCGCCAATAGTTCCCCCACTGGCTCCGCCTGCAACTTCACCGAAAATATTGTCGAGTCTTCCGAGAAAGGCTCTGCCGAGACATCCACGGAGGGCTGGTGCACCTGTTCTCTTAACCTACGGTACCGGACGTCTGGCGTCTGTCCTTCCGCCACCGGATTCGGGTGCGCTCTTGGTGGGGAGAGCGACCCCGTTGTTGACTTCCGCGGTCTCGCGCTCGCACTCCCGACATCACTGGTCGGCGTCCCTCCCACCGGCGACACCCCAAAAGTAGCGATGGTTTTTATCCACTGGGTATTATGGCCGCTGCCACATATCCTCATGGTAATTCAGAATTAATAATTTCAAGTAGTAAACGCCTGCCGATAAACGCCTGCCGGTGCCCGCCTGCCGATAAACGCCTGCCGGTGCCCGCCTGCCGATAAACTCTTAGGTCTGAAACGAGTCAGTAGGAGTCCTGCCTTGAACAAGTGTTGCCAATGGGCCGCACTTTGAAACCACTCGTGACATCGTCCTCAACCACGGCTGCACCCACTCGCGAGCGTTGGCTCCTGGCCTTGGTGGCCTCTCGCCTACTCATGAGTTTCCCCGCCTTATTCACCGCACCTGTGTGCTGGATCGGTGGAAGTCTCTGCTCTGGCAATCGTCGACAGATTCTCCCGATCGTCGCAATGTGGCACCGCCAGCGCCGTATGGCAGGACAACTCCACTTTGACGCAGTGCACTTTGACGCAATGAACTCCTCTTATCGACTCGCTTCCTTGCTGTGTGCCCGGCTCGTCGTCCTCACTCGTCCTCCCTGAAATCCTCCTACGGAGCCTCCGGTGCAGAACCATGGCTTCGGGTTACCTATTTGGGTGGACGTTCTTTCGGTAGTGGCTCCTTCGGTACTCCCTTCTTGTCTCTCGACTTTTGATGTACGTTCTTAAGCCAGACTGTCTATCCCGCAATCAACCGCCGTGATGGTGGCTTTCGGGCACGCCTACCCCTGTCCTCGAGCCTGTTGATACAATAATATGCGGGAACCTGTTGGCTAGTGCTCACCCTCTGGGCGGCGGCCCGCCCAACCTTGATGCGTGGTGGACGACCTGTACTATTGGCCTCAGTGCTTGGCGATAGTTTATGCTGTTCAACGTACACAAGTCCAGTGGCCGGGTAGGACGGGCCGGGCGCAATCGCTACCCACCGGCCTGGCAACCACAACTGACCTAGAGCGTCCGCCGGACGCATCGTCAGAAGCGTGTGGACCCTTCTACGAGCCTCCGGACGCATCGCTTTGCGTTCTGCAGGTACCCTGGCGGGCGGCCGGGCAGGCTGGCTGTTCAGCGATCTTACTTCGCGTACCACATCAGCGTGGTCCCACTAGCTGGTCGTGAATGCGTGTTACACTCGGCTCCCTGACGTGGCCCCGCCTCCCACTCGCACGGTAGCGTCCCACATTGATACCGACTTGGAGTCATACCACTTAAACCTGAGTAGGCTGGATCTTACTATTTAACATTAGACAACAACGCACATACAACCATGCCTGCCTGTGCGGCCATGCCAATGAGGACGACAAATGTTCCAAGCACATCCACGCCGTAATGGGTGGTTACGAACGAGCGAGTTCCCTTTATTACGGATGAGACTTCCCTAAGAGAAGTAATAAAGTTGATACCGCCCTTGTACTTTTACGGTGAGCACACCACATTGGCCGTCTGCACGCCCTTTTCGATACGGCAGTTCGCGCCGGGACAAGTGGCCTTAACGGACACATATGACCCACCAGTTCACGAGACCCGTCGGTTGAATGCCCCGTTGGG